TGTGGTGAGCTACCTGGTGGCGAACTGGCTGGTAGTGAACTACCTTGATGAACTGCTTGGAGGTGAGCTACCTTGATGAGTTGCCTGGTGGTGAGCTACCTTGATGGGCTGCCTAGTGGTGAGCTACCTTGATGAACTGCCTGGTGGTGAGCTACCTTAATGGGCTGCCTGGTGGTGAGCTACCTTGATACCGAGCTCCCTGGTGGTGAGCTACCTTGATGAGCTTTGTTGCTCTTTTTGAGGCCTGCAAGGAACTAGATGTCAGAGGACCCTAGGTTGTTTACCCGGCGAGGTCACTCCGATGGCTAAGTCAGCACTTGGTTATGAGCTGAAAAATAACCTTAGAGAATGAGAGAGAGCTAGAGAGAGCTAGAGAGCAGAGGTTACCCATCCTCCTTTCGCCCCTGGGGGGTGAGGTCTTTATCTACTGGAGTCCTCGTGGGTTAGGTGGAGCAGTTCCTAGATTCCCGCTGTGATGGGACCTGCTTTCGTGTTTGGTGGGGATAAAGCCACCAACTAGTAAGGTTGCCCATTTCCGCCTGACTCGGGGAGTGGGTAAGCTAATATAGTCGTTACAAGTCACAATCCCATGAAATGCGGGGTACGGTGGTGAGCTCCTCGGGGTTGTCAGGTTAGCGCCTGTGTCAGGCCACCAGGTCGGTGCCTAGGCCAAGCCGCCAGCTCGTTCTAGGGCCAGGTCGCGCCAAGGCCAGGCTGCCAGCTCGTGCTAGGGCCAAGTTGCGCCAGGGCCAGGCTGCCAACTCGTGCCAGGGCCAGGTCGCGCCAGGACCAGGCTGCTAGCTCGTGCTAGAGCCAGGCTGCCAGGTCGCGCCTGTGCCAGGCTACGCCTGGTGGGATACCATCAAGTTAGCAAAGGCAAGTTGTTGTCAAAGTGGTCCCTAGTTGTTCTGAGGTGCCAAGTGTCATAATGTCACTAGAGGGTCAAATCTGCCCTCATCAGTAGTGTTGAAGGCTTGAAGCGTCTGTCGACTACCAGTGGGCAGTGGTTTTGAAGCATCTGGGATCCTTCTCTCTCTCTCTCACCTCTCCTCTCTACGGCTCCGCCAGCAACCACTGGCACCAACTAGTCCGGCACGACGGCAACCACTGACAATATTGTTTTTTTTTATATTTTAAGTGCATAAAAAAAAACCCAAAAAATCGAATCGTGGTTAACCGGTCCACCGACGGTTTGGTTTTCAGTTTGAATATTTAAAAAACCGACCAGGTCGGTTCGGTTTGAAGAAATACCCCAACCAGATTGTGAGCACCCCTAATAGGTGAGGGTGGGCAAGAGTCAATATGGGTGGGTCAAGTGGGTCAATATGGGTGGGTTAGGGTGACCTAGGGTTAGGGTGGGTTATGAACCTATAAGAAGCATTGATGATGAGTCATGGTGGATTGGTGAATCAATATAGATAGATTGATAATTTGATATTCAATCCTTATCCAACCCAACCCACCCATTTACCACCCCTAAATGAAGCCACTCATTTACCGGCTAGTTTGCTTTATCTTGTAACAAAACATATATATATGGTCCTCCACTCCCTCTTTTCTTCTTGATGTAATATCTCCTGAAATGAATTCAATGATCAAAGAATGAATTTGCCTTTGGACTTTCATAAAAAGAAAAGAAATGTCTTTGTTTAAAAGGGAAAAAGTCTGTTTAGTGGGAGACATGAATCGTGATTACTTTATTAAAGTGGCAACAATTGAAAAAGTGATGGAAACCCTCCATTAAACTTTTAGTTTTTTAAGAATCTAATTTGATTTTACAACTTCAAATCTGATTTGATATTATATGGAATAGTAATTCGATGTACAGGGGAAGTTACCAACAAGTGGAAGTGGAGCACTTCGATTGTTTTCTGCTGCCATTTCTATCTTCACGGACGGATACAGTATTCAAAACCGAGTTGAGCTTAGATAACTTTTTTTATTATTTTTATTTTTAATTATTTTGATAAAGATAATAAAATAATGAATAATAAAATAAAAGATAAATTAATCCGAACATATATCACACAACTATTATGTGCTCACTCATTATGCTTATCTAACGAGACGTTGGAATGGGCTTTTCCTGATTGAAGCCAGTCCCTGTACAGTGTACACTCAACTTTAACATCCCGGGAAATGGGGCAAATGGAATATGATCTTCAAAAAGAAATTTATGTTTGAAGTGAGTAAATGCTACAGGCAGACTTTCAACAAAATTAGTAGAATTATAAGCCCAGCTAAATCTTTACCTCGAAGGAATAAAAATGTATTAATTATTTGGGAAGAGCAATAGTAGCACGCATTGCGCCATGGAGTCCTTGCAAGTCTTTTCCACGTGGATTTTTGGGTTTTGGCAAGTTTGGAGGACCAAAAGTCGAAGACACTTGCCAAATGGCCTTTATCTTTAAAAAACAAGACCCCTAAATTCAATACATCTTCTGGGCTTTGGCTAATCTGAGCTTTGGGAAAATCTTTGTAAAGAAACTTGCCAAATGGTATCTAAGTTTAAATCATAAATGAACTGTCAATAAACAGGAGCTTTTGGCAGATAGATGGGCTTTGCATGGACCATGGTGTTAGGTTGTGCCATTTTGTGAATTTATAAAGGAAACCTAAGTTGTGATGTTAATTGCTAGAACAACTGCAATGGAGCAAAAGTGGCACTCTTATCAAATTTCAACCCAGGCTATGTTTGATTCACTGCTCTAAGTCTTATTGTTTTTCTCTTTTAATTCTTTCTCATTCTGGGTAAAAATGGGCAAAAGGAATAACATTAGAGTGTCTAGTTACAAAATTCTTGCCATAAACTTCATTTTAGAATGAAAATTAGCCCATAGCATAAAAATTGAAGTAGCCTACCACATGAAAAATAATCATACCTCATCTTGCTCAATTTCATTCTTTAAAGAAACTCTATGTTAATGGTCATAAACGGTCTACAAAAACCATCATAAATGTTTATTAACGGATTGCTGTGAGAACTTATGCCAACAAGTAAACATCCATGTCAATGAGTTTGGAGACTTAAAGCCAGCGGTTTATGATGATTAGCACATTTTTCTTAAATGAAAATGAGTAATATAAGACACTTGTCAATTTGAAAAGAATTCATTGTTTAGAAAAAAAAAATGTTTGGTTCATAACAATATTTTCTCATTCTACTCGTTTTTACCATTCTTATTCATTTTACAATTTCATSTTGAATAAGAATGAAAAAGAAAGAGAGCTGAACCAAGCATAGCCATAACTTCTGAATTCTTAAACAGACACACAAACAAACATGTGGCCTCAAACTTAATAATTCAGTCTGTCTATTGGATTTTTAGACTTTCAGTTTGAACTTGAACGTGCTACTCTCTCCCAAATAAAATGGAGCATCTGGGGAGGTACCATGTGCCCTCTTGTTGCTATAACCTGGGTAATCCTCTTTGCAGAAGGGAACACTCTCTTGTAGAACCAGGCCTCTTTTCTCCGCTTTCTTAACAACATCCCATTTGTCATAGGGATCGGTGGTCTTATGGGTCAAATGTATTTCCCCCTTTTCCCTTATTAGTATCTTGGCGTTCTCCAGAAACCCCTTCACCAGCTTCTTGTTCAATCTGTCCATCACAATCGAAAAAAAAAAATCAATTCTTAACTCCATTAATCTTCAGATCTTCTGTTTTGCTTTTGAATCTATTCACTCTTCATAGTAGGTAAGAATGATGCATCATAACCTCAGAACCACTCGGGATTTCCTACCCGCCGTGAATTAGAGCCATACATCTCTATTATGAATTAAGAGATGTGTGGCTGCAACTCAGGGCGGGTAGGGAGTGGGCAGGAAAAGTGAGTAAGAAATCTGGGCTCACAAAGAACATCCAATGACTTACTCTATCTGGAAGTAACTAGCTTCAGGGTAGAGAAACCCCACGTGAGGGAAGTTGTAGACGATTCGATCAAATCTCTGAGTCCTGAGAAAGAAATGGTGGCTCATTTTGGTTGCGTCAATTCCATACAGGACAACACAACCCATCTCTTCTAGCTCTCTCACATTCCCAATGGCATAACTATATTTACGCTCCAGTGAATCTATATATAGTTACAAGTAATAATAGAACTAGAGGTTAAAATCAATCACAGGGAGAAGGAAAAGGCAAAGAATAGAAAACCCAGAAACTTGTATAAATGATATTATCTAGAGATGGAGATGTATATGCTTACCTTGATTATCTAGAGATGTAGCGACCATGTTCGTTGCAGAACCGAAAACTTTAGCCAAACAAAGAGAGAAGGAAAAGTCTCCTTCACCAACCAATAAGATTCTATGTGAGGTTGAGTAGTGCTTTATCCATTTCTCTTTCTCCCCACCTAACCCAGTAAACATGTCTTCGTTTTCTTCTTCCTCTGTTGTTTCGTCTGCTTCCATTGTGATAGGGTGAAGAAGTAATATTGACTGTACAATCCTAAATCCTCAAGCAGTAACCAGTAGGGAGAGCCGGAGAGGGGAGATGGTAAAGGTGCTTTTAAAGTTTTAATCGTAGAAACTTGTCTAATTACAGTTATGTCCTGCCCTATCCGCACTTAGCAAAAGTGAACCCTCTGCTAATTGTAGACGTTCGTCATATCACTCTCGGTATTCGCCAGTCTTTATAGTCTACCGATCAGGTTGGAAACCCAACGCAACATGCAAGCGAGGGGAATGTGATAAAATGAAGGGTAAATTACAACAAGTACCCCTTAACCGTTAAAGTCAGATAATGGAATGTTCGTTAAATCACCAAAATATCCATCAAAACTTTTTGTATTTTCTTTTTATCGCCCTTTTTTTTATTAGACTCTGTTTGGTTTGTGGGATGGGGATGAGAAAAAGGGAATATTTCCTTTTCTTTTATTTGGTTTGAGAGAAAAGGAAGGATGGGATGGAAAAGACGTGGGATGACAAATCCCAAAATCATGGAATCGGGGTCACACCAAAACAGTGCAACCCTGGTGGAAAAACTGGGAAATCACTTTTACCACTTACTATCATGACGAGTATAGGAGGGAAGGCCGTGAAAAGCGAATCAGCGACGACGAAGAGGAAGGAGAGAAACAGTGYGACTCCGTCTTCCTCCTTTTCTGCCTTTCTCGGCAATGACGAATAGGCCATAGTCCCTTATCTCTATCCCTGGGTTTGTCTTCCTCTTCTCTTTGTTGTTCCTGTCTCTGTCGATTCTCCCTTTCTCAGTGCAACTCCGTCTTCTTGTTGTCTCTTCTCCCTCATCTTCTCTCCCTTCGTCTTCTCTCTTCTTCCTCTTCAAACTATGACGGACTCAACGAGAGGTTTCGGCTCGGATGAAGGGAGTTAGGAGCTAGCGAGAGTGCGCATGTTTTGAGGAAGGATGAACCGGGGAATCGTCTTCATCGTCGTGCCAAGACTCCGACTCTAATTCATCAATAGGTTAATTAGAGTCGGAGTCTTGGCACGACGATGAAGACGATTCCCCATAAACGTATAGGCCTCAATTTCGCAGTCTTCATCATCCTACCTAGAAAACATTTAGATCTCAATTTTGTAGTCTTCATATCCTACTGAGGTCTGTACAAACCTCGATTTCGTAGTCTTCATCGCCGTCCTACTGAGGTCTGTATAGACCTCAATTTCGCAGAGGTCTGTATAGTCTTCATCGTCCTACCCAGAAATGTACTTACCTCAATTTCGTAGCCCAATGTCACCTAGAATCATCTCTTCTAAACCGCTAGACTATTTTCCTTATTTTTCCTTTATTCAGGGTTTTAATGTGAAAAGCAACCCAGATACTCTACTTAAAAGTTGATTGATTCCCAAAATTAACATCGGTTAAAACGATGCAAAGGACAAAAATTTCTCATAAAGAAGGAGTTACAATATTAGCAGAAGAAAAGATATAGGATCATTGTATTTTAATCGGAGAGATATTGTTTGAAACAACCACAATCGAATATATTCTATTTCCCATTCTACTGAAATAGCCACGAACAACCGTGCCTCTATTCGTGAAATTCCTGAGGAAGAAGGGGTTTTACAATATCGTGGTGTCTTCTATTTGAAGGGGTAGCCGTGCTTCTGTTCGTCTCAAACGAAGGAGGAAGGTGAACAATGCCATCTTTTACACTTTCCTATCCCATCCCACCCCAATAAAACCAAACACTGAAAAGTTAAATTTTTATACTTTTCCATCCCATCCCATCCCACCCACATCTTCCTACAAACCAAATGGAGCCTTAAATTATCAACCCAAACCCAATACAATAATTCTAAGATTACTCATTGGTGGTCTGTTTGCATTCAATCGTCTATTTCTTCTCCTCTTTGTTGTTTTTTTCCTGATCTTTGGTTTTGTAACCGTTAAGAAACTTCATTGCACAAAATACATTTGCTAAAGCATGAAGCGAAATTCTTAATCAACAAATACATTGAAGTAGTGGGTCCCTGGACTTTTCTACCTTGGTGGGCTTTAAGACGAAGAGTGATGGTACTTTTCTAATACTAGTAGCTGGGCAAGTAAAGAGATTAACTTCAAATCTGCAAAGATTTGACATATGCAATGCAAGCGTCTTCTTCAGAGGAAAAGCGCTCATTGTAGAACTAACATTGAGCTAGAGGCAGATGCACTTGGGTTGTTGATCAGAGTTAAATGAGGTTATCACAAGTTGAATGCGCTGGCCAAGTGCCAAAGTGTTGAGGGGAAGTTGAGGCGGAGGTGAGCAAAATGAGAGAACTGACTGAAGTGCAAAACCATAAAAACGAGAAGCCATGGTCTCTCTCTCTCTCTCAGGCATTACTGACTCCACTAAGCCTCTTGTTTCAATTCCATTTGCAGTATTCTTCTTTCAATGCAGACATATCACATAACTGGAAGTTTAAGATCCTCTCAAAGATGTGAGGCGTAGTTGGCTAGCCACCCACTTAGGAAGGAGCCATTCCTTCACTCTAGGAAGGAAGGAGGTAGAGCTCATTAACATAATTGAATTGTACGTCCTGGGAATGGAGAAAAGGTCTGAACTCCTCTGATATGGACACTGATCTTTTGGTTTTCTTATTGAACAGATAAATATCAGAAGAGAGGACCAAGTAATCAATCCGACTCTGTTTCTTTTGTTCTTTTATATTAAACTCCTCTATTATGACCTTACAGGCATCGGTCTGCTAGTTGGTCCATTTCCTCTCTTGAAAGTTCAATTAGCCACTTCATTATTAAAAAACAGGTTAAAGAAAGAATCATTCTGTTCATTGGAACACTAGAAACATACCACTATGTGACCAAATGTGACCTTAATTAATGAAAACTACTGATAAAAACATCAATGTTATGAAGTTAGTTAAAGAGGAAAGGATTCCACGACACCGAAATCTAATCATCTGATGGGACTTAACCCATTTAACAACAAAAACTGTGCTACAACAATGTGCAATGGATTTCTCAATTTATGATGCTTTTATGCAAATCGGCCTTGTGCAAAGGACTTGGCCCCATACTACATTGTGCTTCTTACCCCACCAATGGGAGAAGGCCGGGGATCTCTCTCTGTTTGCTGCCATGTCTTAGTGTACATGACGATTAGACCAGTCTCAGTGGATCCCTGCAATCTGCACGCTCCTATTTAAGTCGTATGTTGCCTTACTTGGAAAAGGGAATTCTTAAAACATCACTGGTAGCAGTAGCAAAACAAGCACCACAATTGACCGAATTTGAATACAGAGCCTGACTTTTATGAGCCTCAAAGCAAACAGATTGAAACGTTAAGAACAGGAGTAACCCTGACGTTTGCAAAGTAGGATCTCTCCATTCCTCTGTGTTTGATTCTGAGTCCCCCATTGAAGCTACTTGGACAACTTGAGTTGCGCTCCAAGCTTTGGAAAACGATTTTGCCTGCGTGAACTGTCAACGGAGACCCCTTTGGCTGGGATTGTAGTAGAATCCAGTGCTCGGCCGATTGGGCTCCGTCCAACCCGGGGACATTTCTCATCCCATCTTTCTCTCTCTTTTTTTTCTTTTCCCCTTCTAATGAATCCCAAACCATTGTTCAAGATTTAGCCTTCAACAGTGTTACCTAATGGCCAAAATTCAGGGGGGCCTTTATCGCGAAAAAAAAAAAGTGAGGGTTTTGTCACTGATCCATAATACAAGGGCATCTTTGTAATTTACCCAGACCATCGCTTGGCATCGTGCCGTTTATCTATTTGCCCTTTCTTTCTTTTAACATTTTGAGTGGACATAGTCACATAGAGAACGGAATACATTGCGTTAAGACCATTGCATTAACATGATGTGACGTAGAGCATCCGATACCGTGGCTTATGGAGAGAGATAAATGGATGGAGGAGTGAATGTAGGGAGTTCAAATCAGCCCCCACAAGATTGCCCCCGTAACGTCCCACGCACATCCCTGCCGTGTATTGAAAATACTTCTCCATGATAATATAAAAAATGATGATATCAACATTAGGAGATGTTATCAGTACACGGCAGAGATATACAGTGGAACATTATGGGAAGATTGATTTGATCTCTTTGGATACCCTGGAAACAAAGTTAATATTGGCGCCTCACATGCACATTTTAGCTCATAAGTCATTGAAATAAAGTCATCCTACAACGCAGGGGTTTATTATTGTTCAACTTGTTGAAGAAAGTAAATCATACACGTAATCCTTACTAATCCAATAAAACCCAATCAAATAATTCTGAGTTGGATGATAGTCTCTTTGAAGGAGATCGGCTTCAGTCACTGCAAGGCCCGTTTGAATACTGTTCGAGCAGCGTTCGAACAGCCTTTTCAGCCTTGTACCGGGAACATCTCTGTACTTTTATGCTTTTATTTCATGGGGAGATATTCCTAATGCAAGGCTATGATGGTTGTTTGAGCGGGCCTTGCAGTGACTGAATCCCATCACTCTTTGAAGTGTTATGAGTGTTGAGTCCTCTCATGAGGCCTAGGTCATCTTACAAGTTACAAGCACCTTTGCCTCTAGCTCATTTGCAAGAGTTCAGCAACTGAGGTACCAATTGAATACAATATAGAAAGGATCCAACTCGGTTACTGAGCAGATGCTCTAGCTGCACTTGATCAACCATTACCAAATGTTGACGTGGTCCTTTCAGTACTAAGCAGTCTAGGTTTCAAATATAGTCCCTTTGTTACAGCAATAAACACCAGAACTAAACCTGTTACTTTTGAAGACTTAGGGTCCATTTGGTTTGCAGTTGAAATCAGAATCGGAGTCGTTTATTCCCATTATTTGTTTGGTTCATATAAGAATGGGAATGGGAAATAGAATTAGCAAGAATGAGATTTCATTCCCAAGAAAATAGCAGGGAATAATCATTCTCTCAAATGGGGGAATGTCATTCCAAAAGGAATGAAAATGAGATTCTGATTCTACCCAAACAAACAGTTGGAATCAGGATAGATTCATTTCAATTCCAAGTCCAAACCCCTGTTCCTGTGAACCAAATAGAGCCTTACATGACCTGCTTTTGAGTCAAGACATTAGACTTGCAGAACTTACTTATACCCGGTCAGATCTTCAAACTCCCATCTGCAAATGCAGTGACAAGAAACTTCAACCAACAACAA